GGAAAGAAAATTAAGATATTTTGTTAATAAAGAATAGTACAAATAAAATTAATAAAAATAATTACACATGTCTTTTGAGTGAGATCTTCTGAGAAATTCCAAGCTCTAGGAATGCAGCGGCCTTGTTTAGGGGTGGGATGAGAGTGGGTGAGCTCATCGCATTGGGGTGGGCTTGTCCTAGAGTTTGTGACTTCAGAGCCAAAGGACCCTTTGTCACACGGACAGCCCAGGACTTTCCAAGTCTGACATCTGTGTTTGTCCTTACTTTTTTTCTTTCGTGAAAGCTTCATCTATTCTTACTTGTAGTTTTTTTTTTTTTTAAATATTTTTCTGTAGTTTAATTATTTAAATATTTAAATATTTTTTATATTTTTCTGTAGTTTAATTATTTTTCTTAAGAGCAGAAGTTTGCTATTAGGCTATTAATTTAAATTTAAAATTTTATTAACACTAAGAGCCATTTAATGAGGGTTTTTTTTGTTTTTTTTTTTGGTGGGCATACCAGACACTGTGCTAATTCTACACTGAATATGTTAGTGGCATAGTCCATGTAAACACTGGGCTCACCCTAACTAGGATAATAGCCTAGCTTTTGCTCCTCCATAGATTTGGTTTGTGGTTGGGGAATTAATTCTGTAACTTCATTCTCTGAGAAGTAGAAATTGAAAAGTAGTAAACTCTAGTTGGCCTATATTAGATGAAGATTTGTTTTTACCTGGGGACTTTTAAATTAAAGCTATTGAATAACTTAGGTTTTAATTGGAAATGATTGTGGATTAGAAAATGCCCTCAAATGATTCCTTTCAATATTAGCTGTTTTGGAGTGGGTGTTGAAATTCTGGTTATCTGGATTCCATTTCCCTCAGGTTTCTGTCTGTTCCATAATAGACTCTTCAGAAGGTTAATTTGATGGCTGTCAGCCCACGTAGGACATGCAGAAACTGATTTCAGTTTCTTCATGTATGAAATGAGAATAAGTATGCTCCTATACATTGATCATCTGAATTAAATAAATTAATACATGATAAGTTATGTAATCAGTCCTAGACTTTATCCTTTATTTAACCTTGGGATGAAAATGTCACTGAACTCTTTCTCCGCCCCACCATTGTTTTAATACATGATAAGTTATGTAATCAGTCCTAGACTTTATCCTTTATTTAACCTTGGGATGAAAATGTCACGTAAGACTGAACTCTTTCTCCGCCCCGCCATTGTTTGCAGCAAGTCCAGGTAAGGGATATAGATGGGGTCTTCTCTGAACCACTTACAGTGCCTGCCCTGAGCCATCACACAGCCACATGTGGCTCGTAATGGAAATTACACTGCACGTTAGCATAAATGCCAAAGATTAATAAAGTTCTGGGTTTCCCCATGATGATTATTTTAACACTTAAAAATATCACACTGACTTCTTCACATAGCATTTTATGGTCCTCTGCATGTACCTGGAGGATTCTCAGTGTGCAAATTGATTAACTGAGAACTGAGAACAGCTGAGGGTCCAACTCCATGTGACTGGAGGCCTTGAGATGGCAGCCTCTAGGGAGAGGAACCCAAGGTTCGTTTTATTCAACCTTACCATTAGGAGAACTTCAATGACGTTCTCCTATTTCTTTCTTTTCTCTCTCTCTCTTTTTCTTTCTTTTCTCTTTTTTAAAATTGTCAGAGAACATGTGTGCTTGCCAGACAGGCAGACAGAGGGAGAGGGAGAAAATACCTTTCTATAGGAGGTCATCATGCTAGAATGCCTTCTCCTCCATTTCTCCACCCTTTTGGGATTTGGGGCACACATGTACCTGTCTTGTTTTCCAAGCTCTTGGATCCAGGATTTGAACTACAGCTAACCATGTAGGATCCAGCTGTCTTAATTATCAGGCCATGGAACTGACCAGTATTCCCTGATTATATTACCTGATAGCCACTTTTCTGAAGTTCAAATACAATTATTTCTGAGATTCAATTTGGAATGCGAATCAGCAGATGTTACTAGAATTAAAAATAAGTGACGGGGACGAACAGATGGCATAATGGTTATGTCATTGGACTCCCACGTAGTCAAATGGGGTTTGAGTCCCGGACCTCATGCCTTAAGACTCACGCCACGTGTGTGTGTGTGTGTGTATGTGTGCCTAAAGTCCCTACAGGAGAACGGAGGAAAAAGGATTGTGGTGTGGCCATCCATCCTGGAGGATGATATCTTGCTTTCTGTGTCTCTGTCTCCTTTCTGGTGCGCACATGTGCCCTATAGCGAAAACTCTAAGAAAAAAAATAAGAAAAGTGTGTATGTGTATTTTTATTTTTATTTATTTATTTATTTATTTATTTATTTATTTATTGAGTATGACCAAGTACTTTATATATATGGCTAAGCTTCTCTAGTGGAGTGCCTGTGTCAAAGATTTCTTTTTCTCCCCATTTAAAAAAATTATTATGAAAACTGGTATTCAATTCAAATATCCTGTTTGAGATACCAACCATTTCTTAGTACATGTAGAGCTACTTTAAATAAATTCCTATCCTGTACATATTTTTGAAAGAAAAACTACTATTGCCTTTGTTAAATTTTTAAATTGTTTCTATGCTAATAAATAATGGTTGTTAAAAGTAAAAAAATTGTTTTACATATTTAATTATTATATACATCACTACACCACCTGTAAGTTGAATTTACCCCACATGAAAATGGATATTTTTTAGAACTCAGTAAAGCTTGGTCTCTCGAAGACCTGGAGAGGAAAGAAGAGTTGTAAAGAACACAGGCTTTAGGGACAAACAGTTGGGGACTTGGTCTATGACTTGTTAATTCTCATCTTCCAAATTTCAATTCCCTTCAGTCCAAGAATCCACTGATTAAAACCATTAGCAATTTAATGATAGGGGTCTTTTTTTTGCAGGGGGAGGGGAGGAATCATTGGTACACAGTGATTGAAATCTATCTTGGAGTTAAAAAATAAATATTCTAATACTAATACGCGTGTTTAGTCTGTTAAAAATATAACACTAACACCTACCTCTTGGGTTGCTGTGACAATGAAGTGAGATAATTTGTACAGGGCTGTCAAGGTCCTAAAATACAGTGTGTTCTGAATCAATAGTCAGTAACACAGAGTGCCTCTTCTTTTTTTCTTTTCTTTTCTTTGTGTTTTTTTTTTTTTTGAGTAAGTTTGCTATAGGGTGTGTGTGGTCACCAGAGAGAGACAGAAAGAGAAATCACTGCCATTCTCCTCTCAGGACTTTGGGCATGCCCACACACACACACCCAGCATGAGTTTTAAGCTGCTGGGTCCCGGACTCAAATAGTTGTAGACTACGTGGGAGTCCAGTAACATAACCATTATATCTTCTGCTGGTCCCACAAATGACCTCTTCCTGTGAATGAAGTCTCTATAATCTCTTCAGTCAAATTCAGTACTGATTAAATACTTATTGTATCTCCAGTACCTAAGGATTACTTATTCTTGTGGTAGTAAGCAGTGAATTCTACTTTCCTTATGCTTGGGAGCCATTTGATAATTCAATATGGGGGAATGTCATAGTACTTCTTAGGTCACACCTCACTATGTGAGGTCTATGAAAATCAGGGAGTCTATTAAAGTCAATGAAATAAAAAAAGAAGTACTTTGATTTTTCTAATGTGATTTTGTTCTTTTTTGCAGAATCTAGTTATCAAAGTGAAATAAGGTAAGTCTGAAATTACATGAAATTTCTGAAAGCAAAGCAACCAAGTAATTATATACACCTGTTACAGTTCAGAGTAAGACTCAAGAGGCTTCATCTCAAGAGAAAAAAGGAAGTTTATTAAGCAAGAGCACCCATGGGTTTGAGGCCTGAGATGCTTCAGTCTGCTCACCAGAAGAGAAGGGTGTCCTTTTTATAGGGCAACTGATTAAGCTATTCTGGGAGACTATGCATGGCTGATGCAGAGAAGTCAGGCACAGTGGAATAAGAATATTCTGAACACATGAAACATTGTCTCTGTGTGTGTATGTGTGTGTTGGTCTTGTTTTGTTTTTGCTCTATTTCGGGGGTGGTGATGGTGGTTAGGCCTCTTGGTGCTTGTATTGTGTCCCTGTAGACGACTCTCTGGATTAGTGTGACCTTGCAGTAGCAGCACCTGAAATGTGGGCCCCTGCCAAAACCAGGTCTGCAGAGGTTGAGCCTTGGTCCCTTGTCAGGCCTGGAGCAACACCAGGGGGTGCTCAGGAGAGCTTTACTGAATGTGACCTTATAACACACACATGCACACACCTGTGAGATTTTGGGACTTAACTGATTCAAAATTAAGTACCTAAAATAGACACATTACACAACACGGAAGCCGATCACAAACTTACAGGGCAGCGTAGATGGCAGGATAAAGTATGTGGGTCATTACTGTGCTGTTGGGCTTACCCTGGCTCAAGTAGAGACATGGAGTAGATATTTATTGTGTCTGGCATTTGCAGCTCTTTCCACAAGGGGACACTGTGTACCATGACTGTGGTCCCTCTTGCTCTGAGTCAAGGCAAGGGACACCAACAGAGGTCGTGTTGGGATTTCAGGGGCAGTGCTGAACAGAGAGCTAGTCTGGATGCCTGTAAGGGAATGACCTAGGCAGACAAATTAGGCATTGTTTGCTGCTGGCTCAGATAAGAAGGAAGGGCAGTACTGAAAAATTCCTCTCATTCCCAGGCCTTCTAGGACTAACTGCAATCATTTGCAACTATGCCAAGGACTTAGAATAATATACACAGCAATCAGTTTAAACCCTTCCAATATGCACATAGTCAAAAACGCACTAAAGGAAGGGTATTTTTCAGACAGCAGTGGTTTTGTTGTGTTATAAGAATCACATCTAATTTTCAATATTAGCTATTTAATTTTTTTTTTCTTTTTGGTACAGAGTATGTGTATTTGCCAGAGACAGACACAGAGAGAGGGACAGTGAGAAATCAGCCCTGGGGTAGGGGGATGACTACACTGCAATCCCTTCTCCTCCACTCTCTTCTTGGGAATCTGGGCATGCACCCCCATGTGCTTGGGCATGTTTTTAAGCTGTCAGGTCTGGGACATGAACCATGTTTTTGGTCACACGGGATCCAGCCACCTAGCCACCATGCTACCTACAAGCACCAATATTTAAAAGTTTTAAATGCCGAGATTTTTCAATGCTTTTTGGCAACATAAATGATGTGAATAGTTTCCAGGTGACCCTCTGACTTCTAGTAATAATGAAGTTTTGAGAGAGGTGGACATGCTCAGAGCAGCACTCTGAAAATCTGCCTTCTTTAGGGCAAGAGGTGAGGAAAGAAAATTGACCCTGATAGTTACTCTGGGATCTGTCTTGATTGCTGTTGCAAGCAGGATTGAAGCCTGAATCTTTGATTCATTATTGTTGACTGCACCAACATCTTCCCTTTCTGTTCTCTGGGGTTGTAGATGTCGTTAAAGCACAGTGAAGTGACCAGCAGTTATTGAGGTTGCTAGGTAGAGACCAACACCCCTCATATGATGAGAGTGGTAGCATGATGACAGCCAGTATGCCTTCAGTGCCTGGACTGTGCCAGGTATTCTTCTAAAGCTTTGTAGAGGCTTAACTTACGTAAGTCTCACAATGATGTTATTTTTTTCTATTGGGTAAACGAGGAAACTGAGATACAGAGAGGTGAGGTAATCGTCCCAGTATCTCCCGTCTGGAGATCGGCAGTGTCAGAATGTGAACTTGGGAGTCCTACCTCAGGGCTGGGCCTTTTGTCTCAGTGCAGCTCCTATACTTAGACTGCATCAGGCCCTGGGTCTCAGATGGGGCTGACTGTTCCATCTGCTGCTTCTGCTACTGAGCTGCTATTCACACACTTTTTTTTGCAGAAAAGAATATATGTGTTTTTCATATAGAATCAATGTGTGTTTGTAATAGAAAAAAGTTAACTCTAAGATAGGTTTAGTCTCAAAATCACCAACAGTTCTGTTGTCCAGCAATAATCATTATCTTGGTGTGTATGTACTTATCTGCATGTGTATTCACAGATAGACGTGTAGACAAGCACATAGGCATCTCTTTCTTTCTTCTTTATCTTCCTTCCTTCCTTCCTTCCTTCCTTCCTTCCTTCCTTCCTTTCTTCTTTCTTTCTTTCTTTCTCCTTCCTTCCTTCCCCCCTCCCTTCTTTCCTTCCTTCCTTCCTTCCTTCTTTTTTTCTTCCTTTCTTTCTTTCTCTCCCTTTTTTTCTTCTTCCTTTCTGTTTTTCTTCTTTCTTTCTCTTTTCTTTTTTCTTGAGAGATTTTTAATATAAAGTGTGTGTGCTTGTCAGAGAGACAGAAAGGGAAAAATCAACCCCCAGGGGGGATGACCATACTGCAATCCCTTCTTCTCCATTCTCCTCTTGGGATTTTGGGCATGCACACACACATGCCTGGTGTGAGTTTCAGGCAGCCGGGTCTGGGACTTGAACCACTATTAGCCATGTGGAATTCCAGTGATATAACCATTACACCATCTGCTGGTTCCCAGACGTGTTTCTTAAGATATCATAACATTATTTTATAGCTTGTCACTTGGCACTATTCTGAAGATAATTTCTGCTAACAAATAATTACCCACATTTTTGTTTTGCTTGTTTGATAAAGTTTATTTATTTTTTAATTTGCTAGAGGGCACATGTGCTCATTGGGGGGAGGTGGGGGGGAAGGGGAAGCAAGAAAGCCACTCCCATGGGAAGTAGTCACACCACAATCCCTTCTTTTCCCTTTTCCATCTCCCTCCTTTTGGAATCCTGTGTACACACACACACACACACACACACACACAAACACACACACAGCCCAATGTGTTTTTCAAGTCACTGGTCTGGGACTTGAACAGCGTGGCCCTGTGGGATCCAGCTGTCTTAATCACCAGTCCACAGGCTGGCCCAATAAAATTTTGAATTGAGATGTAAGTACAGAAAAGTGCACATGTCATACTTTGTAGCTTGATTTATTTTCCCATGGAACATGCGCTTAAGCCTTGACTGCTAAATGCAGGACTAGGACATCTTCAAACACTTCCCCTAAAACTCCTGACATATTGCTGCCTGTCCCCTTCCCACCAGAGGTAATATTCTTCTCTCATCTCCTCTCACATCTGTAGAGACTAGATTCATATAAATATATATAAGTAGAATTACGTCACATACACTGATTCATGTTTGCCCTCTTGTGCTCACACGCTGTGACATTGATCTACACTGTGGCATGTAGTTAAAGGTTATTTATTATTATATAATATTACATTCTGGGTATGTGTGCGATTTATTTTCCCTCTTGTTTTAAATTGGTGTTTGGATAATTTTGAGGTTGGGACCATTATAAATCCTACTGCTCTGAGTTTTCTCACAGATGAATTTTGGTAACTGTAAGTACTCTTTCCTGTTGGGTGTTCCATGATAGTGAAAGCAGGACCATAGGGTACATATCTATTCAGCAAGACACCCCTGCCACACTTTTCCAAAGTAGGTGCCCCAGTTTACACTTCCACCAGCAATGCATGGGAATTCACCTACCATAATTTTTAATTCCATTTCAGAGATGTCATCATGATAACCCCTATTGTTGGGTTGTTTGCAATTTTGTATTATATATCATTCATGAATCAACATTCTTTTAAGTATGTTTGCACTTATCCTTGATATAGCCCCAGAATAAATTCTTAAGGTTAAATGTGAATATTTATAATTCTTTAGGTATCCATTGTCAAACTCCCTTCTCCTACAAAGAAACTTAGCATACTTTCCTTATTGAGTGCTACTCAGTAAAAACATAAATACAAATTTATTTATTATTATATATATATTATTGTTATTATTATTATTTAGAGAGATTTTTTTACCATAGGGTGCATGTGCTCACTGGAGGGACACAGAGAGAGAAAGCAAGAAATCACACCCCAAGGGGATGGTCATGCTGCAATCCCTTCTCCTCCATTCTCCTCTTGAGATTTCGGGTACGTATGCATGAGTTTTAAGCCTCTGGGTCCAGGACTTGAACTACCGTTGACTACGTGGGAGCTCAGTGACATAACCATTATACCATCTGCTGATTCCCTTACTAAATATTTTTACTTTTGCTGGCCATATGGTCTCTGTCACAACTATTCAGTTGTGTTATTATAATATGAAAGCAACTATAGACAATACATAAGCAGACAGATGTGGCTGTGTTCAAATAAAACTTTATTTATATATATAAAAAAAGTGGTGGGCCAAATTTAGCCTGTGGATCATAGTTTCCTGACCCCTGCATTACTTAGTGGTATTTGAGAGCTGAGTACCAATGAGGGAGTGGAGTCTATAGACCTGTCTTGATAAAGTGCTGTCTCTTGCCATCCTGGGAATGTGGGAACACGCAGGTTGTCTACACCTGCTACACAGAAGCCAGTGACTGAGCTGCAGACTTCCTGTAGTAAGTTCGATGTGTAAAAATGCTAAATATAACCAGGTGAACCAGATTAAACCAGTTAACGTTTGATTTTTACAATGGTCTAATTCTAGGAAATCTGCAAATATGAAGACAAACAAAGACACTTCTGAAGCCAAGTTAAAAAATGGAAATGAAAACTATGGATACAGTGCAGATGAACCAAAAACCAAACGTGAGTGGACAAGTTGGGTAGAAAATCCTTCAAAAACTGAGTGCTGGGAGACGGGCAGGTCAATTTGACACTAGTTTCATAAGGATGATAATTTAATAATTAATTGGTGATTATTATTTTTAAAATAATCTTTAGAAGAGATTATAAAGTCAGAAACAGTCTAAGAGTAGGTAATACTAAAAAGTCATCTTATTAAAATTAAATTAAAAAAGAAAAAATATATGTATATACATATATATATCAAGACATGGAAAGTTATTTGTTCATGATACATGTATGATTAAGCCATTTTACAGTGTATTATTGATGGGAAATCACATTTTTTATGCTGTGATGATGTTCAGTGAATGAATATAAAATAAATAAATAAAAAATAAAGAAAAAATGAAAAAAGTCATCTTATTAATACTTGTCTAAAACTTACAGTGAGGTAGAAACATAAAAGTGAAAAAAAAAAGATTCTGAGTCCCCCCCATGCTTTCTCTTTCTTCAAAGACTTCTACCTTAAAATGTGTGTGGAGGCATTTCATGCATTGCAGATAACTCTCTCCAAATGTTAACTAGATTCAAGGAAATCTGAAACTTAGCAACACTTCTGTTCCTACTTAACTTCACATGGTGTTGGAGAATATGGGAAGATGAAATCCACTTTTTTAAGTTTTAGAATGATTTATTTAATTTTATTTATTATTATTATAATCTTTCAGTTTGCTATAGAGACGTGTACTAATGAGAGAGAGAGAGAGAGAGAGAGAGAGAGAATGGAAAGCAACATGCCAGATCTGGGACTCAAACCATGATCAGCCATGTGGAAGTCCAGTGCCCCAAATACCACACTACCTCTTGGCCCTCAAATCCACCTTTTAATAGTCTTTCTGAAGGATCTTATTTTGTTTCCTTAATTATTTTTGTTATTTTTATTATTATCTTAATTTGTTAGAGGGTGTGTATGCTTGTGGGAGAGGCAAGCAGAAAGAGAAGGAAAGGGTTTGGGACTTGAACCATTTGGCCATGTGGGATCCAACTGCTTTAACCACCACATCACTGGCTGGTTCTATTTAATATTTTTTGTTTCTTTTTTCCTTCCAAGAGTGAGAAAGACCAAAAGATGGGAAGATAAGGAGAGGGAGAGAGAGATAACCCCTAACAGGGTCTTGACACCACAATCTACCCCTAACAGTAGCCAGCCTTGGATTATAAGCACATGAGCACCCAGCATGTTCAGAGTTCCCCAGATGTGAACCTGAAACCTTCCCATGTGTGTCAACTTCATAGAACACCACATAACCACTGTGCAACCATCCAGCCCTTCATTTTTCTATCTTTAGATGACACAGAGTCATAATGAGGTAGGGGAATCCCTGAAGGCCACCTCACAGTAGTAGGGCGTGTAAAGCCAGTAAGAGAATAAAGCTAAACAAATTACTCTTTAGAACTCTGAAGGGGTGGCCTGCCTCTAACAAGATGCCTGTGAAAACATTTATGGAAAGGTTTTTAGCCAACAAACCCTTGCTGAGGGCCTGAAAAAGATTTTTATTTTTTCCAAATATGATTGGGATCTTATTCTTAGTAGCCTTCTTGTCCTGATTTTACCATGGCTGCCTCCCATGGATGTATATCCCAAACTGTATGCTTCGAATTTCAAAATATTCTACAAAGTATAGACTATTTACTTGAATGATCTGACTACACCTTCTTGTAAAGTTTCCTGTAAGTGAGCATTTATTCGTTTGTATTTTGCACAATTAATCAAGAAGCTTGACCAAAATCATGGCCAAAACCAAACCTCTCTGCCTCTTCCCCCCATTTGCTCTGTGTTTATTTTCTTTGATCAGCTATTAAAGCTATGAATTTGTGTTGTGTCTGGATGAATGTAATATGACAACAAAGGAAATTGATTTAATTTTCCATATTTTTATTTCACTTAAAAATGCACTAAAATTATGTCATCTCAAGGGAATTTTTAAAGAAATCTATGGTTGAGAATTACTTTATACCAGGGGCACTACAAAAAGCAAATATATTTCTTTATGAGTCAGAATTGTCGAGTATGTAGTTTGATTTTTGTCATTTATTACTCTGTAATCATTCTGTTGCAGAAGTTGCTTCTTCTCCTCCCACGTCCTCTGAATTCAGAGTTCCAGAACAACGTAGTAACAGCCGTCCTTATCAGGTGATCTAGACTAATGTCCCATTTTTGGAATATTTTTGCCTCTTAAAAATTTATACTTTACAGTGGGTGTTTATCAAATGGTGCATGTTGATATTTATGATGGAATTTTCTTACCTCCGTATCAGTTGGTGAGCCAGGAGGAATGGGGCTGAGATGGCAAGTATCTCCTACCTTCTGTAGCAGGGGCCCCAGGACAAAGGCTGATATTGCAGAACTGTTTGGTGTGCGTTGTGTATGTGTTGGAAGAATGGGGCTTGATTTGGACATGTTTCAGCTGAGTCAGCGTAATAACGAGCGGCATTTATAAGTTACCATTTGTTCTCTTTGAGCCAAGTGCTTCCAGGACTTAAGTCAGCTTGGCTCTCCTGATTACCGACCACCTACACAATGTACATCTCCACTTGGGAGCCCTGGGCACTTTGGTTCACAGAAGGATGCTGGGATGTTAGGTTTGAGGAGCAGGACAGAGAAAGTATGGTTTCCTTTGCAGGCAAGATCTGTGTGGTGAGCTCGAGAGCTGGAAAAATCTTGTCAGAAATACAATTTTAGGAGAGAGTAGAGGAGTCCCTGATGATTAAGAAGTAATGCCAGGGGGAACCAGCAGTTAGCCTAATGGCTATGTCGCTGGACTCCCACATAGTCGACCGCGGTTCGCGTCCCGGACCCAGTGGCTTAGAACTCATGCCAGGCGCGTGTGCGTGCGTGCCCAAGATCCCGAGAGGAGAACAGAGGGGAAGGGATTGCGGCGTGGCCATCCCCCCTGGGGGGTGATTTCTCGCTTTCTGTCTCTATGTCTCTCTCTGTCTGTCTGGCGAGCGCACGCACCCTATAGCGAAAAACCTTTCCAAAAAAAAAAAAAAAAAAAAAAAAAGCCAAGCCCACTA